CACAGGGCCTGTCCCCTCTAGGGGGTGCTGGCTCCCCCCCGGCCCAGGGCAGGGACTGGCTGGCTCAGGGGGGCAGGGGATGGGGGCTGGGGCCTGTCTCCTCTAGGGGGCGCCGGCTCCTTCCCGGCCCCAGGGCAGGGACTGGCTGGCTCAGGGGGCAGGGAATGGGGTCTGGGGCCTGTCTCCTCTAGGGGGCGCCGGCTCCCACCCGGCCCCAGGGCAGGGACTGGCTGGCTCAGGGGGGCGGGCAATGGGACACTGGGCCTGTCCCCTCTAGGGGGCGCTGGCTCCCCCCGGCCCCAGGGCAGGGACTGGCTGCAGAGGGGCGGGGGTTCCCGAAAGGTCTCAGGAGGCGTAAGGGAGGGGTTTGCATCACCAATGAGGTCATGCTGGGATGAGCAGTTGCCTCGGTAACTAGGGTCAGGTGGCCAACTCTCCTCTCCAGAATGGGGGGGGGGGGTAGGACTAGTCCCAGGGTCTCCCTGGGGGAAGCAGATGGAGAATTAGCCTCCTCCCCACCCCTGCTACAATAACTGATGGCTTAACGAACGGAGCACTGGCACTGCTAGACCCTGCTCCCCTCCCAGAGCTGGGGAGAGAACCCAGGAGTCCTGGCTCCCAGCCCACCCCCTGCTCTAACCACCAGCCCCCACTCCCCTCCCAGAGCCAGGGAAGGAACCCAGGAGTCCTGGCTCCCAGCCCTCCTGCTCTAACCACCAGCCCCCACTCTCCTCCCAGAGCTGGGGAAGGAACCCAGGTGTCCTGGTTACCTCTCCCCGCCGCGTCGGCTCCCAGGGCCGGGTGACGAGCGCCGTATCGCCCTGGATCACGGCCGCGTCCTCCACCAGCACGGAGCAGGGCAGCCCCTCGTCGGCCACCAACTCGATCACCTGCAGCCCCAGCTTCTGCCGAAGAATCCCGGTGTAGACCCCGTACTGCCGGTGCGCCTTGGCCAGGTCCACCGGCTCGGCCGGGCCCGCCCCATCCCCGGCAGGCCGGGCGCCCAGCGAGTCCGGGACGCTGCGGACGATGGCGTGGGTGTATCTGCCGAAGGAGGAGGGACCAGCCATGGCTGGGAGCTCACCCCTGCCCCAAGCGGGGCAATGTCCACGCCAGGCGCAGAGACCGATCGATCCCCGCACGGGTCTCCAATCGGCCGGCGGATCTCCCCTCTCACCGGCCGATCAACGACTCCCGATCACTCGACCAAAGGCAGATCCCTCCGGTTCTCCCTGAAACCGACCAGTTTCCCACTCAATGAGTCAGTTTCCTCTGATCAATTTCACGCCCTGGGCACCAACTCCCCAGACAGCTGATCAATTCCATCCATCTTCCGGTCAATATCGCATCCCTCCGCCAATCCCTTCTGGTTCCGGGCAAGCCCCAATTATCCAATCGAGAGCGTCTCCAGCCCCAGATCTCCAATCAATTTCTTCCCCTTTCTCTCTTCCTGACCTGTGGCCACCGGCCAATCAATTTCCCCTGGGGACTGCTTCTCCCACCAGCTGATCCATTACCCCAATCGATCGCTCCTTAGCATTAGCGACCCAAGCAAGCAATTGGCCACGCAATTTCTCCTCGGCTCAGTGCCCCCTCTCGGCACCGCGTTGATCCATTTCTTCCAAGAGCCAGTTCCCCTGTTAACTTCCTCCCGGGCACGACATTGGTCAGTCAACTTCCCTTTGGAACCAATTTGTTTCCTCCAGCACCAGATCGATGCGGTTTCTTCCTCGGTTAAATCCGACTGCCAATCCGTGGATCAAATCCCGAGCGAGGGGAGTGGGTTGGAGTGGGGGGGGGGAGCTGGGAATCAGGACACCTGGGTTCTCTCAAGTTCTCTGCTCAAACAATCTTCATCCCAGAGTCCCTGACGCCAGGGGAAATTCTTTGCCTCTTTGTAAATCTCGCTCGCTCCAGACGGTATAAAAATAAAAATTCCCTCCCCCTTTCCAGGAATTTGGGGAGAAAAAAAACTATTTATTGTGTCCACACAAACGAGAGTCCATCCGCCAGGACCTATGAGAAGAGAGAGACGTGCGCGGTTAGGGTCGGGTCTGTTTTCTCGTCCCCTCGATAAAAACACTGAGGGGGTTTGTCCCCCCGAAACCCGGCCCTTCCAAAGTCAGTCTGAATTTGGCCGCTCAATAACGCAGGGCACACACGTCTGGTTTCTTCAGTCACCTCGTAGTCCCTGCCTGGCGCACAAGCCCCTAAATCTGTCCCAATGAACATCACCCTCCAGATCCATCCCAAGTCCTGTCCCCCTCTAAGACCCCCCCAAATCTGTCCCCATTAAACTCAGAAATACACCCCTCCGCCAAGTCGTACCCCAAAGATCTGCTCTGAGTTCTGTTGCTCATGAACGGGACCCCCCCGAAACAGGGCTCAGAGTCACCCTAAAAATCTGTCTCCCCAAACTGTCCATAACAAAGAGACACACAAATGAGCCGGAATTCTGCGCACCCCAAAAATCTGCCCCCAGGTCACCCCAGAGTCAGTCCCATGCTAACAGGGACCCCAAAAACTCATCCCCTTGGAAGTCACATAAACCATCTGCCCTGTGCCCCAAATCTCTATCTGCCACCAGTCCCCCAAAATGCTACCCCCCCCCCGGGTAACTCACACCCCAAGCGCCCTGCTAGACTCTGCCCCCGTGAGAGCTTTGAGCCCAGATCAAACATCTCGGTAGTATACTGGGTTCTCTCCCCGGCTCTGGGAGGGGAGTGGTGTCTGGTGGTTAGAGCAGGGGGGGCTGGGAGCCCGGACTCCTGGGTTCTCTCCCCAGCTCTGGGAGGGGAGTCGGATCCGGTGGTTGTGGGGGGTGGGGGCTGGGAGCCAGGACCCCTGGGTTCTACCCCCAGCTCTGGCAGGGGAGTGGGGTCTGGTGGTTAGAGCAGGGAGGGCTGGGAGCCAGGACTCCTGGGTTCTACCCCCAGCTCTGGCAGGGGAGTGGGGTCTGGTGGTTAGAGCAGGGAGGGCTGGGAGCCAGGACTCCTGGGTTCTACCCCCAGCTCTGGCA